GGGATGCTCACTACAGGGAAGAAGTCAGCAATTGCAGCAAGGCAGAAAAGGCTCGGGATGTCTATTTAGTACAGAGGTGGCAAACCCAGGGGTGGTGGATGTTAACAGGGGAGAAGGACAGGGGGAGAGAGCATCAGAGAAGGATGGAAGCAGCACAGGAACGAGAGCTCCCTGCAACAGCAGGCCTGAGGAATCACAATCCTTGGCCGGCAGAAACCGTGGGGTCAGGTACCCCGCTACAGCAGCTATTCGCACAGGCTACCTGCTCAGGGGCATAAACGCTGCCAGGCCAGTGGCAGCTCGTACGGCCCCGTGTCTGGTTCGAGCTAGGGGCCAGGATGACCGGCTCATGACGAGGGAGCAAGAACCCCAGGCTGGTACAAAGCCTGCTTCTTTGGCTTATGGGTAGCTCCAGGGTGCTGGTTTGCTCAAGTGATCCTGGCACAAGGTCTAAAGACTTTGGGGCCAGATCTGCAGCTGGGGAAATGGGGCTTGTGGTTCATCTTCTGTCCAAGGCATGCACATTTGCATTAGCTCTTGGGTTTTTCACTTCTTCCCGCAGACAGGTTCCACAGGGTTAGTTTTTCTGAACTGCATTAAAAAAAAACAACCTAAGGCCCAATCATCTAGGAATTCAGCTGTAGCTATTTCTCAGACCCCCTTCCGAGAGCTATTTTAGATGAAACGGAAAGTGGTTTTAAAGGCGCTGTACTCGCCATTACAGCCCCTACAAATCAGAAGTGGACAACAGCATGTGGCAGGAGTGGGGTGGGGGGAGAGGCAGGTTTAAATCTTCCAGCAGACTGCTGCAGACATCCCCAAACACGCAGCTCCGACAGTCCCCGCAGAAACAAAGGGGCATGAATGACAACCAATCACTTTTCTAGTGACCGTGAGACAAGGAACGGGGAAGCAGAGCCACTTACACATGCCGTTCGGAGCTGCGAGGGGAACGCGAGGTCCGATGATGTTTCCCGACATGGGCGGCATGCCCGGGGGTGCAGGGCCACTGCCTGGCGGGTGGATGTTGGCAGACACGCTTGGCATCATCCGGCCCGGCACGGGCTGCCCAGGTATCATCGCACCGGGTCCTGGCATCTGACCTGTGGAGCGTTAGAGACAGAATACGATGAAACTCATCTGAAACACTTGCACGAGCTGAAGAGAAAAGCAGTGGCCTAACCGCTCTCCGGGCAGAAAGAAGCACAGACAGCTTGCGCGCTTGCAGCCCTCTCCCTGCACTCCAAGTGCCCCCCGCGACCGTCCCAGAGGAAAAGCCTCCCCCCTCCCCACTCAACACACTGCTCTCACGAGGGACTGCAGTGTGCTCGGACCGTGCCCAAAAACCATGACTAAACAGTGGCTCCTAAGTGAGCCGATAACTCGATTTGGCTGGAGGCTGGGTAAGAAGCAGCTGCTTGTGAACTTCATGAAGGTACAAGGGACTGACTGCATTGGAAAAACCAGGTTTCCAACAGCAAAGCCCTTGGCCACTGGACTAATGGCTTCATTTAATAGCAGGAGGGAAGCCATGCAGCTACAAGTTGCACTGTGCAGCAGTTGCAGTATTAAACTCATTCTTGGGGGGGAGGGGAAGGCCTCCTTAATAAGCCTTCCTTGTGCTAATACCCTTGCGAAAGCAGCTTCTCAAAGATTTACACTTCAGAAGCACCAAGAAACATTTCCAACTGCAGCTGCAGACACCTACAGCTCTCAGACTGGCTTCTCAAACCACATATGAAGAGATATTGCTTCATAATCTGATTACATTTATTTTTTGAGGGATCAACGCGCACACGTTATATAGGCATGGTATCTTAGTCAGGAAAGCAGCTATTAAGACACAAATTGCAGCTACTTGCAATAAAGATTTCATTCCTTCCCACGTCCCAGGTAATTATGTACAATAAAAGGCGATTATAGAAGCCCTTCAAAATAACCGTGCACCTCCTTTGGAAGAAGATTCTCTACTGCAGGATGTACACCGAGAAAGAATAGAGGCTATGATGGACGTTAAAAGCCAGGAAAATTTACAACTGCATTTAGGACAGAGTCCATTTGGCACAAGGAGCTACTTCTCAAGCTCCTGCTGGAGCTCTGCAACTGGAAGGAGGCTGCAGCGGAGGAGTTTGTCAGCACCTGTAATTCCTTTTATTAAGGGATGAAGAGTGTTAGCACCTGTAACTCTCTTAATTAAGGGATGAAGAGTATATTTACAGTCTCTCAGATGTGCTGGCACCTTGGACAGCATCACACGCGGCTACATCAGGCTGTTAACACCCCAGGTGTCACCCGGTGCCTGCCAGCTCCCTGAAATCCAGCCCTCTCCCTCCTGTGCTGCTCCAAACCAAGCAGCATGAGGACCGAATCAGGGCTGAACAGAGAAGCATTCGGGAATCAAGTCGTGTGCAAGAATCGACGGAGACCGGGAGGCACCACAGGTGCGGAGAGGCTACCTCGCCAACCCCATGGCTCTGCAAGGGCTGCCTTTGCATGAGGACCCTGGAGAAGTTGGTGCCTCTGGTGTTCAACTCTGGACCGGCATGAAACAGCTGCATCTGCCGCGAGGTGCGACAGCTCAGTCATGCTAGGAGGCGTTGTTAGCTGTGCTTGTAAGGGAGTCGCCACGCTTCCCGTCACCTCAGCTCCCTCCCCAAGCCCCGAGTCCTGGGGCCGAGGGGAAGGGGCTGGGGAGCAAGTGCAGCGGCAGCTCCTGGACAGCAATCAGTACTGACCGAGTCTTTGAGGAGTAACAACGTTAGGGTGTTACATGAGACACCGCCTTGCCTGGGAATTTCAGGGAAGGCAGCTGAGCAGTTTGCATGTCTTTCAAACCCTCAACAGGGCCTGGACTTGTAGGTGAATGCAGGGCACCGGTCCTGGGTAACCCAACTGGTACCACCAACAGCTCGGCTACTTGAAGAGCCCGACTAGGCTCGGGGAATCCAGACAGGTAGCTACTCGCTCTGTGCAACCACCAAGGCAGTCTGCATCTGCTGCTCAATGGCAGAGGTACCCAATCCCATTAGCTGGAAGGCACAGAAGAGGAGGATTAAGGTAACGTCATGCCATAATTAGAGAGAGGTAGTTAGCCCTGATAGTCTGAAGTCAGGCAGGAGGCAGGGCAGGGCAGAGCCGCACCCTACAGACTAACTCATCCCAAATGCATAAGCTCTCATAAGCGACTGCTCACTTCCATGTACTTTGCTGTACTTACGAGAGCTATGGATCTCCAAATTAGCCCATAAGGTGCAGCTCTGCCCTGCTTAATGCCACAACGACCAAGTTCTCTAACAAGCCTGCAACACGCTGCGAGTCAAGCTATCCAATCATTTGAGCAGAGCTAACTGCAGCCAAACAGGGTTTTGGGAAGGTGCTTTTTAAAAAAAATTTTAATAAGGGGAAACGCAACAAGAAGCTTTTTGGAGACGGACACAGGAGAGCAAGTTGCAAATGCACTCACACACGTACTGCATGTGACTTGTGGCCGGTGGCCTGACATTTTCCTTGCTACGTGTGACAGAGCAGCAGCAGCTGACCAGAAGGCCACGGAGGGTCAAGACCCCTCCCTTCCGAAATCAGCAAGCCAGCTTCCACGCCAGTGATCACACGCAGGTGGATGCGACAGACCACGGCTTCCCCAGTCAGGGGCCCACAAGACAAATGAAATGGCAGACTCCTTAAGGACTCTTCCCACAGGATTCAGCAGTCTGCCAAGCTGCTGAGTACGCATAGGATGTCATCCATCCTCGGCACGCACCATACAGGTGAGTATGGCCCGTAGCGCCAGAGCTGTACATGTCCAGAGAGAGGAGACCCGATTTCAGACAAATTCAGCTGGAAGGTGCCCAGCTTGGCTCAACCCCCCCACCCGGAGTAGCAAGCAGACGGCAGGAGCAATGAAGCGTTCCTCAGCTTGGAGCACGGAGGACTTAAGCAGACACAGCATGAATTTACTGCCGCTGGCATCCGCGTGTCCGTTTTGGGCCAGCTCATTCATTAGAGATGAGAAGCAGGCAGCAAGGGCAAGGCCGAACACGGCAGGCAGCGTGAGAACACGCCACCACCGAGGGCTGCAGCCACTCAGGGATCGAGGCTGAGAGACACAGCAAGCCATTAGCATTAGAAATGGGTCACGACTTAACAGGATCCACTGCCAGTCAGAGGTAAGGGAAAGCTCCAGAGCATCCTTGGGTTTGAGAGCCCCCTTTCTCCCACCCTCTGGGAGCTTGTGGCTCCAAACAGGTGAAAACGGCAGGAAGAAGTGAAGCAAACGCCTCCTTCTCCCTTTTGCAAGGCAGCCTACGTGCCTCGCAGATCAATTTAACCAGCATGTGTGAGCTCGGCTGTACCTTCTCCCCATCCCCCAAGCCCCTGCTGCTCGCGGGTGTGGGAACGCACCTGGGCCTTGCAGCAAAGCCCGCGTGAGAGCATGAGCGCCGAGGTAAGCCGAGGTCACTTGGTCAGTGCCAGGCGCCAGGATTCTCCGCTGATTTGCATGAGACAGATGTGGGAACCGCCTTGCATCAAGAGGCTAAAAAGGTCACTGCACGCAAACGGCCGCAGAGAGCAGCTTGGATTACAGCGGTGGGGAGAACCGGAGAAATGCTGAGAGAGCGAGACGAACAGCCGGGGACGGTTTCCAATCCCGCCAGGGGAAGAGGGCGCGAGGCTGAGCTGCTGACTGAAATAGCTGGGCTCTTCCCCTCCCTTACTCCACAGCCTGCTGTTCCTAGGGCTGCAGCTGCCATTCTTCTGCTCTGTTTACCTGTTCCCCTCCACCATCTTGACGGTAATGAGCCCTCCAGGAGCAGCCTGCAGCTTCAGGGGCTGCCTTTCCCAATGCAGCTAATTCCCTGAAACCCAACACAGGGACACACAGACGGCAGAGGTCATGCTCAAGTTTCCTCTGCCATGCACAAACACAGGTAATGGTTATTGGTCTATCCTGACATATCCCACGTTCCCATCAAGGGCAGGACACGGCCCTTTTTAGCAAAAGACCAACGGAAGGATCTACACGTGCAATCAAAGTCCAGATGAGTCTTGAAAAGGGGGAGAAGCTTCTGCCCCGAGTATTACGAGTCGTGTTAGGCACTGGGGCAGTGTGTGCCAGCCATTCACTCTGGACAGCGGGGTCCAAACCTGGATTAGCTCACAGGTGAAACAAGCTGTGTGCACACGTGCCTCGCGGTCTGGCACGCAGGTGGTGGTAGCTCACAACCTGGGGCCTGCAGGGAGTCTGGGCAGGTCCGGTCTGAAGGGCCTTTGCAGAGCCAACAAGATGTGTGGCTCAAGCCGGTGCATGCACTCTCACTCTTTTTTTTTTAAATGACTGGTCAGAAGTAGTCAGATCAGCACCACCACGCCCCTGACTAAGCATCCCGTGTCCGATACAAAGGCACGTGTGCCCGATGCAGCTGGAGAAAGGTGGTCAGAGAAGCGGCAAACGAGGCTGCCGTCAGCAGAGGGGTGAAGGCACAGGAAACAACCTTGTGCCAAGGTAAGAAACAGGAGGAGGAGGAATGAAGTTACGAGGGCCTTTGTAGGACAGGAAGTTTGTCTCAGAGGTGATGGAAAAGAGGGGAGCCTGGGAAGGGGCATAAATGGGGGGAGAGGGGGAGTGACAAGCCAGGAGGAGGATTTTATGATGCAATTTGCGGGGACCTGAGGGGGTGCGACTGCAGTCGCCGAGCCCTGGGAGAAGGAGATGCCAAAGCAAGATGGTCAGGGAGGATACGAGAGAGGATCCTGGAGATGGGATGCAGGAAGAAACACCAGCGTTCAGACCTGTGGTTCTCAACTTGGTTGGAGGCAGCAGAACCTGGTGGAGAAGCAGAGGTAAGCCGACGCGGCACCAACAGCGGCTCTCAACCAGGCTGCCTCCACATTCAGAAAAGTGACGGAGGGATGCCTGGATCTTGGGAGGTTGGGAACCACTGGTCTAGACCATGGCTGTGGGTTAGAGAGAACAAAGTCAAGGGCAAACTCCAGATGCGAGCAATTCCACCGGCCTGGAAAAGGAGGAGGGGACAGGCACCCAGCTGGAGACCGGCATTTGCCACGGAAGCAGAAGACTGTTGCCAACAGTGCTCATCTTGAT